GTGAGAGGGGAGCCCAGCCTGCCTGTAACCACTTGTAAATCTGTCGTGGACTGAGGAAGGGACAGCGAGTCTGACCTCATGCGGCATCTCGTGACGTCACACATGCTAGCCACTGGGCCTAGCTGTGCAGGGAGCCTAAATGTATACATGGATGATACGATCTACAGTATACTACACGAGCATATGCATTGGGAATTCAGTAGCTGTACTGACATTACATGTAGGCTGTGAAACACCAATACGTAATGTGTAAGTTTTGAAACCAGGCATATACCTAACGTGTAGGCTGTAAAACAGGCATGTACCTAATGTGTAGGCTGTGAAACCAGGAATGTGCCTATCGTGTAGGCTGTGAAATCAGGAATGGTTGTAGACCTTAGTTCATGGCGTTTAAGGGTGGTGGAGCGTAGGCTGTAAAACCAGAAATATACCTAACGTGTAGGCTGTGAAACCAGGAATGTGCGTAACTTGTAGGCTGTGAAACCAGGAATGTGCGTAACGTGTAGACTGTGAAACAAACAACTAACGTGTAGGCTGTGAAACACCAATCCGTAATATGCAGGGTGTAAAATCAGGCATATACCTCACATGTAAGCTGTGAAATAGGCATGTACCTAACGTGTATGCTGTGACACAGGAATATGCCTAACGTGTAGGCTGTGAAACAGGAATGTACCTAAGTTGTAGGCTATGAAACCGTAAATGTACCTAACGTGTAGGTGTTGACACCAGCAATGTACCTAACGTGCAGGCTGTGAAACAGGCATGCTCCTAAAGTGTAGGCTGTGAAACAGGAATGTGCCTAACGTATAGGCTGTGAAACCAGAAAGGTTGTGCACTTAGTCCACGGCGTTGATTTGTGGTGGACTCTAGGTCGTGAAACCAGGAATTTACCTAACGTGTAGGCTGTGAAACAAGAATATACCTAACGTAGATTTTGAGACCAGGAATGTACCTAACGTGCAGGCTGCGAAACACCAATACATAACATATAGGCTGTGAAAGCAGGCATATACCTAACGTAGGCTGTGTATAACAGGCATATACCTTACGTGTAGTCTGTGAACCCGTGGATGTACCTAACATGTAGGCTGTGAAAAAGGAATACCTAACGTGTAGGCTGTGAAACACCAATACGTAATATGTAGGCTTTGAAACCAGGCATATGCCTCACGTGGTGGCTGTAAAACAGGCATGTACCTAAAATGTAGGCTGTGAAACTAAGAATTTGCCTATCGTGTAGGCTGTGAAATTAGGAATGGTGGTGGACCTTAGTCCACGGCGTTGAAAGGTGGTGGACAGTAGTCTGTATAGCCAGGAATGTTCCTAACGTGTATGCTGTGAAACAGGAATGTATCTAAATTGTAGGCTATGGAACCGGGAATATACCTAACTTGTAGGTTTTGACACCAGGAATGTACCTAACGTGTAGGCTGTGAAACAGTCATGTTCCTAAAGTGTTTCTTTCCACCTGTTGTCTATGTTCCCCATCAGTAAAATGGGTACCTGGGTGTTAGTCGACTGGTGTGGGTCGCATCCTGGGACACTGACCTAATTTGCCCGAAATGTGCCGAAATGCAGAGCATAACAAGGGACTTTCTATATAGTAGTATGTCATTGTTGTCAGCTAGGACTGTATACCTTGTACATGTACATGTAGTAAATAAAGATATTATTATTATTATTATTATTATTATTATTATTATTATTATTTATTATTGTTGTGTGGGCTGTGAAACAGGCATTTTCGTAACGTGTAGGCTATGAAACCAGGAATGTGCCTAACATAGGCTGTGAAATAAGGAATGTTCCTAACGTGTAGGCAGTGAAACACCAATACGTAATATGTAGGCTTTGAAACCAGGCATATGCCTAACATGGAGGCTGTAAAACCGGGAAAGTGCTTATTCGTGTAGGCTGTGAAACTAGGAATGTGCCTATCGTGTAGGCTGTGAAATTAGGAATTGTAGTGGACCTTAGTCCACGGCGTTGAAAGGTGGTGGACAGTAATCTAAAACCAGGAATGTTCCTAACGTGTAGGCTGTGAATCAGGAATATACCTATGGTACGCTGTGAAACAGGAATGTACATAATCTGTAGATACTTAAACCAGGAATGTAAATTGTGAAACAGGAATGTACTTAGCTTACATGTTTATTGCCGACGTTCAGGAGCTTTTCATCCAAGGACAGCGCTGTATGATACTTGTGGATTTAGCGCTTAGTTTTGATCATAATAAAAGTTTTCCTCCCAGGAGCTAAATCTGCCTCCCTAGGATGAAACCTGGTTGATATCCCATTTTGCCAGGTGCTGCTTTATGACGAAAAAGTTCTGTGGAACGTAATCCACGGCGTTGAAAGGTGGACCTTAGTCCAAGGAGTTGAAGGGTGGTAGACCTTAGTCTATGGCGTTGAAGGGTGGTGGACCTTTGTCCACAGCATTAAAAGATGGTGGACCTTAGTCCACGGCGTTGAGTGGTGGTGGACCTTAGTCCACGAATCTGAAGGGTGATGGACCTTAGTGCACGGAGTTGAAGCGTGGACCTTAGTCCACATTTTGAAGGGAGGTTGACTTTGTTCACGGCGTTTAACAAGTGTATTTCAGCCAGAACGCCTTCAAGAGTGGACCCCGTCCCGAGCGCCTTCAAGAGTGGACACCGTCTAAAGCGCCTTCAAGAGTGGACCTCACCCATAGCGCCTTCAAAAGTGGACCCCTTCCAGAGCGCCTTCAAGAGTGGATCCCAGCCAGAGGACCTTCAGGAATGGATCCCAGCCAGAGGACCTTCAAGAGTAGATCCTGTTCAGAGCGCCTTCAAGGGCAGGGGACCCGTTCAGAGCGCCTTCGAGGGTGTGGGACCCCGTCCAGAGCGCCATCGAGGATGAACCCCGCCTATAGCATCCAGCCGAGCGACTGGAGGCTATGGACTAAGTTCACAAGCAATATATTGGACTGTCTGCAATGTAATTGGATTGTGTCCAATATTATTGCAATGTGCCCTATATATACTTCTATTCCTTCCCAGCGTATTCACTTCATAGTTTTTCGTTGTATCGATATTGTTTAAATACCATAATTAATAATTTCCACATTATGATGTTTACACGACATTGGTATAGTGTAAGTTATGTAGTGTTTGCTGGGGTTCCCTTACCTCCTCTCCTCCCTACTATCATTCGCGCCGCTCCTTGTGGGTTGGCCGGCAGCATATCACCCTCAGCCTGATGCCCTGGCAGTTGGTGAGCGATTTCTGGTGGTAACCTAGCTACCATCGGTAATCAACCGAAGTACCCCTTGGTGCGTGGTTTAGGGTTCTCTATGAGAATCTTTGGACGAATCACCCCGGTCCAGCTCGAAGATTGCAGACCTCAACGTGGTGAGCTGGTGTAACTTGGAGCAGCATTTTATCTACGTCATAAGAAATGAATTCCACTAATTTTGTATGTATAGCTTGAACATTATTCGGCTTAGTTACGAGATAAATGCTGCTTCAAGGCTAACATGTGATCTCTGCTCTTAGGAATGCTGTCAGTCTTGTGGGTTTAGCGTTTAGTTTTAATTGTAATAATGCTCCGAGGAACATTTTAATAATTTCTCAAGAAAGTCCTTTTTTAATGACCCATTTAAGCTGATGGCTTGAAATATAATTAAATGCAGGTGGGTGAAGCATCTTGGTATTGCTTATTCTTAACCTAGCAGGCTGGAACTTGCTTTTAACCTAGCAGGCCCCTCCTCAAGGAAGGTTCCTTGATGCTGGTGAGGGGCTCTCGATCTAGGGAATTTGATATGTGCGCCAGTTCCCTGAATTAAGCTTTCCACATCCCCCCACAGGCTCTATAATCCTACTGGGTCACTCTCCCTGAACCATGAGCTTTATCATACCTCTGCTTAAAGCTATGTATGGATCCTGCCTCCACTACATTGCTTCCCAAACTATTCCACTTCCTGACTACTCTGTGACAGAAGAAATACTTCATAACAGCTCTGTGATTCATCTGTGCCTTCATCTTCCAACTGTGTTTCCTAGTTGCTGTGTCCCATCTCTGGAGCATCCTGTCTTTGTTCACCTTGTCAATTTCTCTCAGTATTTTATATGTTGTTATCATGTCCCCCCTATCTCTTCTGTCCTCCAGTGTCGTCAGGTCGATTTCTCTTAATCTCTCCTCGTAGGACATACTCCTTAGCTCTGGGACTAGTCTTGTTGCAAAGCTTTGCACTTTCTCTAGTTTCTTTACGTGCTTGGCTAGGTGTGGGTTCCAAACTGGTGCCGCATACTCCAATATGGGCCTAACGTACAGTGTACAGGGTCCTGAACGATTCCTTATTAAGATGTCGGAATGCTGTTCTTAGGTTTGCTAGGCGCCCATATGCTGCATGTGTGTGTGTGTGTCGTGCCGAATATGTAAGACTTGCTAGTTTGGCTTAAATAACAACGCTCTTCTTGCCGAATAAGTTAAGCAAAAATTTGTGTATGCAATAATTTCGCAAAAATCATTCTGAACCTAACGAAAAAATATATTTAATTTTGTTTGTTTATTATTAATTATTGTAAACTTATCTAAAATATATTTAGTTTGATTAGGCTAAATTAAATTGCTCTTGTTATAAGGTTAGGTAAGTTTTCTAAGGTTCTTCTGGTACAAAATTATTAATTTTTACATTAGCATAAATGAAAAAAATATATCTTAAACGTATAAGATAAATTTTTAGAAAACTTAATTTTAAACGAATTCTTGATAATTGACCAGTTTTACCTATTCGACACGACATATATATATATATATATATATATATAATATATATATATATAATATATATATATATATATATATATATATATATATATATATATATAATGCTTGAGAGGAGAAAGGAAAAGGGTAATAATTTGAGAGGATAGAGTGTGAGGATACCATTTATGAAACACTTTAGTGCACACACACGCACACACATTATGCGGATGTGGAGCTCGTTACATATGCTCAGTACATTTTTTTTCCCAGGTTGTGACCCCACAGTAATCAACAAACGTCCAGGTACGCATTTCCTGCTAGGTGAACAAGAACAGATACGAGACGACGATCCTACGACTCCACACAATCTTGAATATGGAGTTAAGGCAGGCACTTGTATCATTGGTGAGTTATTGTGGCATGTTGTGCTGCTCAATAAGTCATTGCAATGCTAAAATACGTTTTTAAAGTATTTTAACAGGTACAGAACTTATCATTCAGACTATTATTAATTATCTTACTCTATTACTTTTGCCTTATTTTAAAAATATTTTATAGCGGCGTTGGTATGTAAGGTCCCTCGTCTATTAAGGAGCTGTAAATTATTTGCTTTTGCTTGAAATAGTTTATAAGAAAACTACAAATGTAAAAAAATATTTTAGAATTATGTAAGTAAACTTATTTTATAACGTGTGTATTGTAAGAGGGAGCGGTGTTGAGCCAGTGGTCGCTCAGGTGTTGTGATCTCTATAATCCTACGGGTTTAGCGTTTCCCCCTTGATTATAATAATAATCAGGTGTTGTGATGGTGACTGATAGTTTATGCTCACTATTTTGATGTAGATCTGGATATTTTCACTAAAAATGAGATATAAAACTTATGCTCCTGGAGTGCGTGTCAATGTCACCTACGCGTAGAAGGGAAATTTCAATTGTGTCTTGGTTTCTTTGTTTACATCTGATCCAGGAAGAGGGGAAAGATCACTTCACCTACTGTCTTTCAACCTGGGTCACTTCAGTTACTGTCTCTCGACCAGGGTCACTTCAACTAGTCTCACCTGAGTCACTTCTACTGTCTCTCACCTGGGTCACTTCACCTCTCAACCTGGGTCACTTCAACTGTTGTCTCTCAACCCGGGTCACTTCACCTACTGTCTCTCAACCTGGGTCACTTCAACTGTTGTCTCTCAACCCGGGTCACTTCACCTACTGTCTCTCAACCTGGGTCACTTCAACTGTTGTCTCTCAACCCGGGTCACTTCACCTACTGTCTCTCAACCCGGCTCACTTCACCTACTGTCTCTCAACCCGGGTCACTTCACCTACTGTCTCTCAACCTGGGTCACTTCAACTGTCCCTCAACCTGGGTCACTTCACCTACTCTCAACCTGGGTCACTTCATCTACTGTCTCTCAACCTGGGTCACTTCAACTGTCCCTCAACCTGGGTCACTTCACCTACTCTCAACCTGGGTCACTTCACCTACTGTCTCTCAACCTGGGTCACTTCAACTGTCCCTCAACCTGGGTCACTTCACCTACTCTCAACCTGGGTCACTTCATCTACTGTCTCTCAACCTGGGTCACTTCACCTACTCTCAACCTGGGTCACTTCATCTACTGTCTCTCAACCTGGGTCACTTCAACTGTCCCTCAACCTGGGTCACTTCACCTACTCTCAACCTGGGTCACTTCATCTACTGTCTCTCAACCTGGGTCACTTCACCTACAGACTTAAAAGTGAAACAAACGACACAAAAGGAGAGATGAAGAGTGAGACAAAAAAAGTCTAATCATTTCCATTCCATTTGATAGAAGACCTAAATCTAACCCACTATTACCAGTTTTGCATCCTCTCCTCCCATTTCTTTAGGCACCGTATGATTTTACCGCTTCCCCATAAATTTAATAAGTTTACATGGACAGGCGTCAATTGTTTGGCCCAAGATAAACTAGCGATGTGGCCCGCCACTCTAACTTCCCACCCCAGGACAAGCTGACCAGATCCACCTGGAGTTCATTACCTTTGTAACTTGCTCAGCTATCAGAACTTTGGGGCCCACTCCCTGGACCCATTATGTACCTCTGTAATCTTTTGACTACCACCCACAGGATGGGTATGGCGTGCATAATAAAGATGTTTAACTAAAGGGACTAGCTGCTCAGACTAGTCGCAATGTGGAGACTTGTCTCGGTCCGCCCTGCAGTACTACTTGGGGAACCGGTCATAGGTAATTTAAGCTTGGGAATTGTTATACCCCGGCCTTTGCCCTCCCGAAAATGCACCACAAAGTCTCACAAGCATACTGGTTGGCGAAACATCTACATAGTAAAGATTACAAGTTGTTACACGTGTCTAATTCTTCAACTTTTCGGTATTATATATCAATATTATGAAAAAAAAAACAGCGTGGACGAAACGTTGTCAATGAACGATCGCAGTTTGTCTGCAGTTGCTACCAATTTTTCCCCATTCCAGTGAGTTTTAGGACTCATTTGCCATGGGTTGAAACCCCACCCGTTCCCTGATTTGTTTGCAATCATGGTATCATTTCACGAGTTGTCATAAGTTGGGTTTACGTGAGGGTTTTTGGTGAATGGCAGGGAGGTGCCGAGGAAGAAGCGGGGAGGATATGGGGAAGGTGCAGGAATGTTTCGGAGAAGAGAGAGAGAAGTAGCGGGGAAGAGGAAAGGAGGTGGCGAGAAAGGAGTAGGGACGTGGCGAGGAAGAGGCAGGGGAAGTGGCGGGGAAGAGGCAAGGAAGGAGTAGGGAACATGACGAGGAAGAGGCAGGGGAGGTGGCAGGAAGGAGTAGGGACATGGCGAGGAAGAGGCAGGTGAGGTGGTAAGGGGGAGGCAGGGACGGTTAACAGTGGTGGCGGGGAATGAGTAAGGACATGGAGGGGAAGAGGCAGGAAGGAGTAGGGACGTGGAGAGGAAGAGGCAGGGGAAGTGGTAAGGGGGAGGCAGGGAAGGTTAACAGTGGTGGCGGGGAAGGAATAGGGAGGTGGTAGGGAAGGAACAGGGAGGTGGTGGGGAAGGAATAGGGAGGTGGTGGAAACTCGACTGGTGGGGATGTTGGGTGTCTGGGTGAGCCTCACTCTAGTACACGCTGCCACGGAGGAAGGAAGTTAAAGGTGGGTTGTCACATCTTATTTCGTATTGTAACGCCTGTTGCTACTGTATTACCCACCTAAGACGAATATACACTTACCCTAACATAACCCCGTACGTTATATCCCACATATAACCCCTGACATTAACTAGTAGGTCTGTACATTAGTAAAATTGATGAACAAGTACTTGACTAGACTGCCGTCACTACCATGATACTGGCAGGAAACATGATTTAGTGAGGGAGAAATATATATAAATGATTTTATTACAGATTTATCACCTTATAAGAGAAAGGGGAGGTGCCTTGAATAATAATACTACCCTCCTCTTCCTTGGATCAAGCCCCGTGGCCTGGTGGCAAAAGTTCTCGCTTCACACAGTGAAGGGTCCGGGTTCGATTTCCGGCGAAGGGGTGGAGACATCGGACGTGTTTCCTTAAACCGGTTGTCTGTGTTCACTTATCAGTAAAATGGGTATCTGGGTATTAGTCGACTGGTGTGGGTCGCATCCTGGGACAAAACTGACCTAATTTGCCCGAAATGCTCTGCATAACAAGGAGCTTTCTATAGTAGTATGTCATTGATGTCAGCTATGGTCTGTATACATACCTTGTACATGTACTGGTGGTTAAAGCTCTCGCTTCACACGGCGAGGGCCTGGGTTCGATTCCCAGCCAGAGTAGAAACATTGGGCGTGTTTCTTTCCACCTGTTGTCTATGTTCCCCATCAATAAAATGGGAACCTGGGTCTTAGTGGACTGGTGTGGGTCGCATCCTGGGACACTGACCTAATTTGCCCGAAATGTTCAGCACATATAGTCCTTGTGGCTTAGCGCTTCTTTTTGATTATAATAATAATCAGCATAACGAGGGACTTTCTATATAGTAGTATGTCATTGTTGTCAGCTATGGTGTGTATACCTTGTACATATACTTGTAGTAAATAAAATTATTATTATTATTATTATTATTAACACTAACGATCCGTACCAGTTGAGCCCTTAAATATAATTTGCATTATATTATTGGGGTACTAGGTAACTATAATTGTTATACTGGCAAGCGCTAAACCCGTATGGTTATAAGATAAAATTTTGTTTATTAACCTCTGAGGGTTAGCCATCCAAGGAACCCACTCCAGTCGACTAGCACCCAGGTACCTACATGTTAGGTGAACAGGACAACAGATGTAAGAAAACGCGTCGAATGTTTCTACTCCTACCGGGAGTCTAACCCGGACACCGCGTGTGACGAGAGCGCTTTACCAGCCAGGCCATGGGGCCCCTTATCTGTGCCCTGGAAACAGCTGTTCATTGTGATAGTCTTGGAGTTCACTCACTCTACCAATACTTTTTGGGCTTTAAGAAGTTAAACATCCATCTGCCCAGTTTAACAGTTATTCCTTTTACACTTGTTTTGTACGCTATTGTAGAATTTTTTTTATATTTTATTTAGAAGGACAGTACATATACATAGTACATACAATTATTAACATCGTACATCAATAAGGTACAAAGATAAACAGTAATTTACTTAAGGAGAGTACCGTACTCAAACACCTTCAAAATTTTTACGATAAGGTATCTCCTATTTCCAATACCAATACCCAATTTAACCCTAAGACAAAGTAACATAGCATGGTATTATCCATAACCCCATAAACTAAGCCCCCCCCTGTCCCCAGGCAACCCCCCACCCTTTATCTAAGTGATTAGAAAGGAAGGATACGAAAAGTGTACACAGAACTTATGCTTTAACCTAAAAGCACATATATACAATACAGTCCAAATATATCATTAACTTGCAACACAAAAGGACTTAAAACAAAACTCAGATTACACCTAAGGTCCTAAACATAAACCAAAGCTACAGTCTACTAGTTCCACATGTCTTACAGCACTTGCACATGAGAACACATAACATCAGTATGTACCATCTTTTACATAAAAATAGGTCCACATCACTCAAGAAAATTTTTTTAAACATACAAAGGCAACTTTCCAATTTCATTTATATAAATGACAATGTTTCAGGTAATAAAAAAAACTGTATATATACCAAGAATTGCAAAGTATAATTACCCCCTGGAGTATAGTATCAACCTCACAGGGAAACAAAAAATAAAAATTCTGATACCGTACATAAGGCCCATAATACATATGCAGAGCTGTACTACTACTAGCATTCAAAAACCATCCTGGCCCCTGAACACGTCAGAAAGCCTATCCCCCCCAGCCCCTGACCTCATACCAACTATTATACTCGAGTCCACTTCTTACCATCTACACC